CCGAAAATCTCCCCTGAAACCGCAGCCAGAGCCCCGACCTGGGCTGAGGACCCCACGCCTCTCACCTGGGCCCTGCGTGCCCATCAGCCCAGTCTCTTGGGGCCCCCGGCGCCTAGCTCCCCGGGAGCACCCCCAGCCCACACGCGGGGCGCTCCCAGGTGCCCTCAGGGTTTTCCCAGATGTTTGTTTATTCATGCAAGGCCGGGGTGCCGAGAGGACTCCGAGCGGACGCCCCGAGGCAGAAAAGGGGGCAGAGCAGCGGGCCCCCTGAAATCCACCATGGGGGAGCAGCGGGAGACGGGGCCTGCCGCGCCCTGGGTCCCTCCCTGGCTGGGGTGGACTCGGGCCCCAGTGGCCCACAGCTTGATGGTGCTGACTCGCCCGCACCCGGGGGCCCCGGGTTCAGTTTTCAGCTGAATTTTAAATACCGGAATGGAGGAAGCTGCGGGGCTGCCCGGGGCGCAGGGGTGTGCGCCCCTGCGCGAGTCCACCCTGGCCGGGGGGACCCCAGGGCGCAGCAGACCCCCGTCTCCCGCTGCCCCTCAGCCGTGGACTTCAGGGAACCCGTCTGTTCAGCTCCCCGCTCTGTCTCTGGGGCGTCCTCTCACCCCGCACCTCTGGCCTGCACCCCGGGTCTTGGGGGGGCCTTCGGCCAGAGCCCCGAGCTCCTCAGGCCCCCCGAACAGCCCCTGGGGGCAGCGCTCTGCGCAGGCAGGCACAGCGTGGGCCTGGCGGGAGGCCGTGGGCACGGCCTGCCCACGGGGTCACGCTCGGCTGCGCCTTGCAGCCCCTGACGGGTCTGAGAGCTCGGTGACCTCGCTGCACGTGCCCCAGGCGCCCCGGGGCGGCGGTCAGCAGGGCCGGCGGGCACCGCGCCGGGCAGCTGCAGCGGGGGGCAGCGGTCAGCAGGGCCCAGTCTGTCTCGCGGGGCCGGAGGCCCCAGCAGCGCCCACGGCATGAAAACCAGTGGGGAGAGCTCACCTCTCCCACACCCCCTTTGTCTCACGGACACCTACACTCGGAGGCCACGTCGTCGCCGCGGCCGGCAACTGACCAGGGTACGAGGGAGCAGGCGTGGGCAGGGGCGGCCGCCGGCCTGACCCCAGGCGCGCGACTCCCTCTGGCTGCAGTTAGGCTCGCGGGCCCCAGACGAGGGACAGGCGCCGGTCAGCAGAGGCCCAGCGGCCAGCCCTGGGAAGACGTTTCCGCCGGTCAGAGCGCGGGCGGCGCCGGGGCCCTCACGCCCCTGGTCCTGCGGGCCTCCGAGGGGCCAGGTGTGAGCCGCTGCCCGGCAGTGACCCCCTCGGCCGGTCGCCGAGCACGGCGAGCCGCTGCCCAGCAGACGCTCCCGTTGCGGCACACTCGCGTGACTTGGCACCGCGGGAACAGGGGTTCGGGCCGGGGGCCCCGGCGCCC